AAGAGAAAGGAACAATTGAAATCGCATCATATGACCCCTTTAAATAGAGACTAACCCACACCTCTTATTGCTATTGCTCAGGTCAATAGGTCAATAAACATTGATGCTGCACCATCATTTAGTTTGAGTACAAGCACACAAAACATGCATGATTTGGTGCAAACTTTCAAAACTTTTTGGGAAGTTTCTAGAAATGTACCGGATATTTTCCACCCCTTTGCAATCCTAATTAATAATAAATATATTTATATATTTAACAATAATACATTTTTATTAGTATTTTATTTTACCATGAAATTGTATAATAGAAATACTCCTTTTGTTTTTATTTAGTACTTGTTTATATTTATTAATATATAACTATAACATATATAAATTATATTATTAATTATATCATTATTAATAAATATATTTGTATATTAATAAATAATATAATTTTTTATAAATATACAAATATTTAAAAAAAAATTAAATATACATATCACTAAAACTAATCGAATAGTAATATTTCACTAGAATAAAAAATAATCAAGTATTAATAATACAAATGTTTAACTTTGCAACTGTAAAATTACAAAGCTAATATTTATGGCTGTCTAAATTTCTGTAGATAATCAAGTTGCTCTGAGATAATGAGCTTCACTCTGAAACACACAGTGCACATACTTATTTCATTTTATAATCGCACTAAGCCACATCGTGATTATTATTTGGAGACAAAAGCACTTGGTAAAACATTATCAAACTGAACGAACTTCAGCCTGCATTTACACTGCAATGCCTAATGCACAAATGCAACTAAAATTGATAATATAATAATAGTTTAATTAATACAAAAAATTAAAAAAATAAATAAAGAGAAAAAAAATGTCTTAATGTACTGTGATTAATCAACTGGGGAATTATGGTGATATTTATTATTAATTAACATTTTTTGCTGTCTTGCCTTAAGTATTTAAAAATATATAGTTTAAAGGCATTTATAAGCGGTTATTTAAAAAGTGTGGCCTTTTCTGCACCGAGTCATATTTTGTTTGCATCATAATGTTAATTAAAATGCAAGATGTATGTTCTGAAGTTATTTTACATAAACTAATTAGGGCTGAACGATGAATTGCATTTGCAATAATATCGCGATATGAAAAAACGTGATTTTTCAATTGCAGAGGCTGCGATTACACTCGGTCACGTGACACGCGAGAGTAAAGAAGTGTGTTCGACTTGAAGAAAGCGACCGTTGCAAATCATTTTATCTTTGTGTCAGTACGTCATTAATAGAACAAGGCATCAGTTTAATGTCGGGTTTTGTCGTGTCGCGTTGCGCGCCCCGCGCCGCATCCAGTGTACACAGCATCACTGATTATAATGGGTTCTACTGTATTTTGCCGCTCGCGTCCAGTGTACTAGAGAGAAGAATAATAATAACAGTTATTCTCTCTATGCTATTTTTCAATGTTTCAAGTGATGCAGATGTGTTTTTTTTCCCTGTAGATTTTTTAAATTAAAAAAGCATTCATTTTTCATAATGTTTAGTGAAACTAAATTACCTAAAGTAGTGTGGTAAAGCAACAGATTTGTTGGTTACACTTTACTTGAAGGGGTGTGCATAAGACTGAAATGACATCTTCATAATCATGA